CCCCAAAACCCCAAAACCCCAAAACCCCAAAACCCCAGGAAAGGATTTCTGATTGACATGGCAATTCTAATGCACAAAGTGCGAATAAAAATTCTGAAGATTATATTTTGCTACTTAGTAACTTGGAACTTCTGCTTCACTACATCCTTTCTAATAGCAATTTGCTTTTCATGGAGAGCAACACTCCTGCTAGGGTTGTTCATTCCCTCTATGGAATTATAAATACTTTACTCTTGTATTCCTGGATGATGTTCTTCCTTAACTCAATATCTTCATGCTTCTGGCTGAAATAAGTACCCATGAGGGCGAAACTATTAGAGTTGAGGTGACCAATTTCATTGACTAGATTGACTACTTCATTAAAAGTGGACTGCCTGATCTCCTCTTTAAGTCTAAATTCTCCAATCATTTTAGGAGTCTTATTTACGCTAGAGCAATCTTACAAGTAGCTTACCTTCATATTGAACTCATGAGTCTCAAGTTTTCCAACCAAGCTTTTGTACTTTTTAATATTATTCTTGAACTGTGCCTTTAGAGGAATGCGATCTTTCAGTTTAGTATAGAATGAAGCTAAAAGTTATGGGAAGATTTGGTACTTTTCACTTTCTTCTCCTCTGAGAACGGCTTAATCTTCTTGTAGCTCAGGCTACAAGTTTAGATTAGGAATACTTGCTTTTTAGAGTTCCTTAAGGTGTTCTTTAGACTACTCTGACTGGAGAAAATTGAATTTTCTTTGTAGTTTTTGATCCCTGTTCTGCTCTCTGACTTGAATTCTTTGTGCTCACGCAGTAGCTTAGGCTTGATATTGTAGAATCTGTTTCTTATGAAACTTGTGGGAAGAGGAGAAAGCCTCTGATACTTCTTTTTCTCAATCTTCTGCTCCATATGTGGATTCATACTCCAATCGTTCTGATTACAGACCTGGGTAAGCTGTTCCTTGAGGGAAGGCAAAGGAGATCTACTAGGTTTCTTAAAGTTAACAAATTTGCATTTACTCTTATCGATCATAGAAGAAGTACTCTTTAGAGTATTAGAATAATTATTGTCTATTGTCGGAGCTATCATTATGCTAGAATCATAGATCATATTTTGCACAGACTTATTTGTTAGCCAAAACAAGTTTTCTCCTATGTCTTTCAGCCCTATTTTCTTCCCTTTTCACGATGAATTTCTTTGAGAAATTTTGCCAGTTTTTCGTTCTCTTTTGGAATATTATTTTTCATTAGTTTTCCACTCTTTTTAAATGTTGAGAACGAATTTGTCTCATTTATCAACATGACATGCAGCTTATTTTCTCTCATGCTCTTTATCCTGCCATTTTTCATACCTAATCTGCTCGGATGATTTCTCTAAAACTCCCTTAAAATTCCATACCTTCCTCTACAACCTCTCCTGTCCCCTTTGTTGCTTCTTTAAGTGCGGTAAACGAGTTAACCAACTGAGGACTTTCTGGGCTTGCATGTTCATCAACTCCTTTTTCCTACACATTATCAGCACACCCCCTAAATTTCTGCTTGAGATTTCTCAATAATAAATTTTATTCGGCTGCTTACTTCTTCTTGGTCCAGTTGATCGCTGCCGCTGTTGTTCCTTAAAGATGTCTTCCTAGCGTGTCTAGGCTAGGTGAGGTTAAGCATTATTGTAAGAAGGTGGTGTGGTGGTTAGATGGTATAATTGTGCTTACTATTGTCTTTTTAATCAACCTTTTGTTATTAGTGTTTAGCTGTTTTAGTATATCTGTTATTGGGGATGCGTTAATATGAATTCTAAAGCTCACAAACAAACCCTACTTTCTACTCGCATTAATCATCTTATCTCATATCCTACAGTAAAAATTCACCTTGAGCGCCTTACGTATGTGTTTTCACAAAGATATCGTCAACTATATACTCAAAGGTCAAGAAGTAGTTAATAAGTACTAAAAATTCCTTCTCAGAAAATTGATTCTACTTTCCAAAACTTGTTCTGTCTTACCCATTGCTTGCTTCTCAAGGGCTTCTAGCTTATTAATCGTGTCAAAACTTCTGTTAGGGTCTTTAGATTTCTATGTGTAAAAAATTAGACTTTGCGTTAGCTTTAAGGTTACATTTCTCTTGTTCATTTCAATATTTTATAAAAATATTGGGGTTTTGGGGTTTTGGGGTTTTGGGGTTTTGGGG